AAACAAAAACCGCCTGAAATCACCAAAAAAGCCCAAACTCACCAAAAAAACTCCCCATATCATAAAAAACCCTCCCCAAATCACAAAAAAAAACCCCAAAAATCACAAAAACATTTAAAATAATCAAAAAACACCCAAAATGAACAAAAAACACGCAACATTACCAAAAAACCAACAAAAATCACAAAAAACCCCAATCACCAAAAAACCCCCGAAATCACACAAAACCCACCCAAAATTGACAAAAACCACCCAAAATCAACAAAAAAACACCAAAATTAGCAAAAAACCTCCCCAAATCACAAAAAATCCACCAAATAACAAAAAAAGCCACAAAAATCACAAAAAACCTCCACAAATCACCAAAAAACAACCCCAAATTTCCCAAAAACCCAGCAAAATCACAAAAAAGTCCCCAAAATCATTAAAAAATCAAATCACCAAAAACCACCCAAAATAAAGAAAAAAAATCAACAAAAAAGTGACAAAATCATCAAAAAACCTCTCCAAATCACCAAAAAACCTCCAAAAATCATCAAAAAAACCTCTCCAAATCACCAAAAAACACCCAAAAATAACAAAAAAATCAGCAAAATTGACAAAATCATTAAAAAATCACCCAAATCTCAAGAAAACCCGCCCAAATCACCAAAAAAACCACAAAATCACCAAAAAACCACCCAAAATCACCCGAAGAAACACTCCAAATCATCAAAAAACACCTAAGTTTCCAAAAAAACCCAAAATCACCAAAAAATCCCATGAATCATCCAAAAAACACCCCAAATCACCAAAAAACCTCCCAAAATCATAAAAAAAGCCCAAATCACAAAAAAATACTCCCCAAACCACCAAAAAAACCCACCGAAATCACAAAAAAGCCCCTAAAATCATCAAAAAAGTTTCAACATCATAAAAAAATTTGAATCACTGAAAACCACCCAAAATTAACAAAAAAAATCACCCAAATTACGTCCCAAAATCATCCAAAAAACCCCCCAAAATCACAAAAAAAACCCCAAAATCACCAAAAAAACCCAAAATCACCAAAAAATTCCATTAATCATCCAAAAAACACCCCAAATCACAAAAAAAACTCCCAAAATCATAAAAAAAGCCCAAATCACAAAAAAAAACTCCCCAAACCACCAAAAAAACCACAGAAATCACAAAAAAGCCCCTAAAATCATCAAAAAAACTTCCAAAATCGTAAAAAAATCGAATCACCGAAAACCACCCAAAATTAACAAAAAAATCACCCAAATTACGTCCCCAAATCATCCAAAAAAATCCCAAAATCATCCAAAAAAATCCCCAAAATCACAAAAAAAACCCCAAAATCACCAAAAAAACCCAAAATCACCAAAAAATTCCATGAATCATCCAAAAAACACCCCAAATCACAAAAAAACCTCCCAAAATCAATAAAAAAGCCCAAATCACAAAAAAATACTCCCCAAACCACCAAAAAAACCACCGAAATCACAAAAAAGCCCCTAAAATCATCAAAAAAGTTTCAACATCTTAAAAAAATTTGAATCACTGAAAACCACCCAAAATTAACAAAAAAATCACCCAAATTACGTCCCAAAATCATCCAAAAAAATCCCCAAAATCACAAAAAAACCCCAAAATCATCAAAAAAATCCAAAATCACCAAAAAATTCCATGAATCATCCAAAAAACACCCCAAATCACCAAAAAACCTCCCAAAATCATAAAAAAGCCCAAATCACAAAAAAATACTCCCCAAACCACCAAAAAAACCACAGAAATCACAAAAAAGCCCCTAAAATCATCAAAAAAACTTCCAAAATCGTAAAAAAATTTGAATCACTGAAAACCACCCAAAATTAACAAAAAAATCACCCAAATTACATCCCCAAATCACCAGAAAACCCCCCAAAATCACAAAAAAACCCCAAAATCACCAAAAAATTCCATGAATCATCCAAAAAACCTCCCAAAATCATAAAAAAAGCCCAAATCACAAAAACATACTCCCCAAACCACCAAAAAAACCACCGAAATCACAAAAAAGCCCCTAAAATCATCAAAAAAACTTCCAAAATCGTAAAAAAATCGAATCACCAAAAACCATCCAAAATCACCAAAAAAAACACCCCAAAATCACCAAACAACCACCTAAAATCACCAAAAACCTCCCCAAATTACCAAAAACACCACCGAAATCACAAAAAAGTCCCCAAAATCCTCAGAAAAAGTTCCAAAATCATAAAAAAAATTGAATCACCGAAAGCCACCCAAAATCACCAAAAAAAACCCCAAAATCACCAAAAAAAACACCTAGAATCACCAAAAACCTCCCCAAATTACCAAAAAAAATACCGAAATCACAAAAAAGTCCCCAAAATCCTCAGAAAAAGTTCCAAAATCATAAAAAAATTCGAATCACTGAAAGCCACCCAAAATCACAAAAAAAACCCCCAAATCACCAAAAAAACAACCTAGAATCACCAAAAACCTCCCCAAATTACCAAAAAAACCACCAAAATCACAAAAAAGCCCCTAAAATCCTCAAAAAAAGTTTCAAAATCATAAAAAAATTCGAATCACCGAAAGCCACCCAAAAATACAAAAAAAAAACCCCAAAATCACCAAAAAAAACACCTAAAATCACCAAAAACCTCCCCAAATTACCAAAAAAACCACCGACATCACAAAAAAGTCCCCAAAATCATAAAAAAAAGTTTCAAAATCATAAAAAAATTCGAATCACCCAAAACCACCCAAAATTAACAAAAAAATCACTCAAATCACCTCCCCAAATCACCGAAAAACCCCCAAAATCACCAAAAAAATCCAAAAAAAATCCAAAAAAACCCCCAAAATCACAAAAAAAACCCAACAAAATCATCACAAAAATCCAAAATCACCAAATTTGGGGATTTTGGCGGGTCGGGGTGAGAATTGGGGTGAAAAAGGGAAGAAACGGGAGCGGCGGCACCGACCTGTTCACGTCCACGTCCTTCCCCTGGCGCTGCGCGTCCAGCAGCTGCTGGATGATGTCAGCGATGGCCATGACCTTCAGCTCCGCCTGGCTGCGCTCCCCTGCGGAAAAAACGGGGTGAAAACACGTGAAAACGGGCAAAAATGGGCA